GAGCAAAAAGAGTAATGGTGGCAGTATCACAAATGCCTAATTTCCAGTACCATTCAGAGCCACAGTAACAAAAACAATGCAACACTGACACGTGCGCACGCACGCACACACACACACACACACACACACACACACACACACACACACACACACAGAGAGAACAATGGAATAGATTGAAAGTCCAGAAATAACATCACACTACTATAGTCGCTTTTATTTTTGACAAAGACAGCAAAAGCCCACACAGGAGAAAAGATAGTCTTTTCAACAAATAATGTTGAGAAAACTGAATATCTACATGTAGGACATTAACATTAATGTCAAGATCTTTAAAAGCAATATTTTGTTAGCATATATTTATTGTAAAAAAGAATCCATTGTGACATTTCCATACAAGCACACAATGTATCCCAATCAGACTCAGCTCCTGTATCGCTTTCCCCAACATCCACTTCTTAAAGCAATTTCAACCACATTGACATTTTTATGTATGGTTGTAAAGTTCTTTGACATTCACGCTCTTTCACCCTCCATTGGTCCTTTGTACGTATGCTCGTACCTATCCCTAGCAGAGCCTTATCAAAGATTTTAATATAAGACCAGAAACTTGGTCTACCCAGCAAGATAGCCTGGCCTGAAATGAATGCAACTCAACAAATGTAAAAGAAGTAATTATGCAAGGTGTTTTCAACCAACAAAAGAATAATAAAAAGAAAGCTAGAAAATCCCAAAGTATTTTGAGGTTATGCAACATGCTGCTAAATAATAAAAGTCAAGGAAAATAAAATAATAATAAATTTAAAATATTTTTAACTACTGAAGCTGAAAATACAACATACCAAAATGTGTGGAGTACATCTAAAACAGTATTTACTGGGAAATTTAAAGTACTGAATGTATAATTTAGAAAAGGGGAAAAAAAACTAAAATCAATAACCTAATCTTCCACTCCATTATTGTGAAAATACAAAGCAAATTAAATTCAAAATAAGCAGAAGAAACAAATAGAAGTTAATGATAGAAATCAAAATCTGAAAACAGGAAATTAATAAATCAATGAAATAGAGAAATCATTCCTAATAGGCTAACCAAGAAAAATGGAAAGAAGGCAAAATAGCTAATGCTAGGAATTCTTTTTAAAAAAATTACCACAGATCCTGTGAACACAAAAGAATATCCTAAAACTCAATACTACAAATTTGAGTTTGGAACAGTCTAATCCTTATTAGATACTAGATTCAATCCTTATTAGATTCAATCTAGTAAAACTCACATAAGGACAGGTAAAATAAATACAACTATCTCTTAAAGGAATCATGTCAGTAGTTACTAACCTTCCAAAAAGAAAGCAACAAACTCAAATGTTTTCTTTCATTAATTCTACAAAATACCTGTACCTGGTATTTATTTTGTTGGACAATGTTTTGCCTTTCTAAATAATTATATTGAGTTCTTCCTTAAATCTACTGTATTTCAAGAAAACAAGAACTTAAAGGGATAGGATGGAGTCAAGGAAGTAGAAAATGGAGAGAAGAAAGGAGGGGGGGGGTAGATGCAGTCAAAACTCAACGCATATCCTACAAAAGTAAGAAGAGAAGGGATGGATGGGAGGAACCGGTGAGAATGTTGACAGGGATGACTCGATCAAGACGCATTGTACTCATAAACTGCTTTGTTGAATGGCAACTCCTGTGGACAACTATAGCTAATACAAATATTTTTTTAATTCTATCAAACATTGAAGAAAGAAATTAAAACATTCTTTACAGTGTCTTTCAGAAAAGAAAACTATGAAGAACACTTCTAACAATATCAAAGGCATTACAAGAAAAAATAAATAAATCCTGAAAGTTGATGTAAAATTCTCAACAATTTCAATGGGAGAAAATATTGGCAAAATACACATCTGATAAAGAACCACCATCCAAAATATGCAAAGGACTTCCCTAAGTTTTCAAAAGCAACAAAAAAAGAAAACATATCTGAAAATACACAACATGTCTGAACAGACACAATTCACCAAAGACATATAGAAATAGGTGCACAAAAAGATATTCAGCATTATATGGCTTAGAGAACTGTATATTAAAACAATTAAATAGACTTACACTCCCAATGCTTGACATCAAAACACTGACAACACCAGACATGAACATGTACAATGAGAGAAGAACTTTCTCAGTGATTACTGGTGAGAATTCAAACCCCAAACCCCACAAATCACTAAAATTCAATGAAGATGAAATTGACAATCTGAGTAATCATATAACCATTAAGTAACTGAATTTATCATTTAAATCTGTAGCTCTTGATGGTTCCCTTGAAAAATTCTATTACATATATTAGCTTGACTTTTAAAAAAGTATTAAAAAGTTCTCTCATGACTTAAACACAAAAATCCTCATCAAATATTAGAAAACCTAACTCAATTTATAAGAAGAATTATACAGGGGCTGGGAAGGTGGCTCAGTGGTAGAGCACTTGCCTTGCATGCATGAGGCCCTGGGTTCGATTCCTCAGCACCACATAAGCAAAAAAGAAAAAAGCCGGAAGTGGCACTGTGGCTCAAGGGGTAGAGCACTAGCCTTGAGCTGAAGAGCTGAAGGACAGCGCCCAGGCCCAGAGTTCAAGCCCCATGACTGGACCCAAAAAAAAAGTTTTTTTTAATAAAATTAATTTTAAAAAAGAATTATACATCATTACTAAGTAGGGCTTATTCCAGTTTGCAAGTCTAATCCAATATTTGAAAATCAGTAAATCCACCATATCAATAAACCAAGAAAAACACTCCATTCTGCTTATCGGTACAGGGAGTGGGAATTATTTGGCAAATCTAAAACCCACTCATAATTTTTTTTAAAAATCTCTTAGTGAGGGCTGGGAAGATGGCTCAGTGGTAGAGCGCTTGCCTTGCAAGCATGAGGCCCTGGGTTCGATTCCTCAGCACCAAATAAGCAAAAAAAAAAAAAAAAAAAGAAAAAGCCAGAAGTGGCCCTGTGACTCAAGTGGTAGAGTGCTAGCCTTGAGCTGAAGAGCTGAGGGACAGCACCCAGGCCCAGAGTTCAGGCCCCACGACCGGACCCAAAAAAAAAAAAAAAATCTCTTAGTGAGCTAGGAAAGATTATTAAGCTTCTACACCTGTAATCCTAGTCACTCAGGAAGCTGAGATCTAAGGACTCTTAGCTCTAATTAACCACTCAAAAATTGGAAATCGGGGCTGGGAAGGTGGCTCAGTGGTAGAGCACTTGCCTTGCATGCATGAGGCCCTGGGTTCGATTCCTCAGCACCACATAAGCAAAAAAGAAAAAAGCCAGAAGTGACACTGTGGCTCAAGTGGTAGAGTGCTAGCCTTGAGCTAAAGAGCTGAGCTGAAGGACAGTGCCCAGGCCCAGAATTCAGGCCCCACGACCGGACCCCCCAAAAAAATTGGAAATGGTGCTTTGGCTCAAAGTGGTAGAGCACTAGCCTTGAGCGACAGCACCCAGCCCTGAGTTTAAGCCCCATGACTAACAACAAAAACAACAAAAACTTCTACAAAAACTTCATGTAACATCAGTTAATAGTGAAAAGTTGAATGCTTTCCTCCTAGTCTGAAACAAAGCAACACTGTCCAATGGTCTCACTTAATCAGTATAGTATTGTAAATTCTAGCCATTCTAGTAATATGGCAGGGACAACAGAGAAATGGAAAGGATCTCTATCTCTTGCTCTAGATAGATAGATAGATAGATAAATGGATGGATGGATAGATAGATAGATAGATAGATAGATAGATAGATAGATAGATAGATAGATAGATAGATAGATAGATAGATAAATAGATGATTACTACACACAATCTAACAAACACACACACAACCTAAGGTTGAAGGATATAAGATTCACAAATTGACATAAAAATCACACTTCAGTATATGAACATACAGACACCAAACTAAAAGTGCAATACAATTTACAATTATTCCAAAGAAAAATTAATCAATTAGGCATACACAGTAATATATACAGAATTTGCATACTGACTTTAAAAAAAGGGACAGAATCTGGGATTCACTAAGTGCCCAATGACTGTTAGCTCTTACTGTACTGCTCTTTTTCTCCTTAGTGTGTGCTCTAGCAAGAAAAGTTGAGAAAATCTACCAATTATCCAAATCTGACTGTGATTTTTCTATTGAAGTTGGGAAATCTTGGAAGTATCCCCTTCTGAATTGTCACTAACACATATTCAATGTTAGATCTAATGGTGTCTAGAATGTGCACCATTCCCCAGCTGTGGAGAAAATTAACTGTTCCATGCATGCTTTTCACTTCCTCGTCGCCTTAGTTCAAAGCCAATGATCAGGACAGCACAGCCCCCTGCTGCTGCTGCTGCTGACTGAGTGATGAAATAGTGGTTAAAAGGGAGGTAAACTAGTGTAACAAAGATGGGAGGGGCCAGGAGGAGCACAAGCACCCATCAGGGTGCCAGAGCAAACATTAGGGACACTGTCTCCTTGAATGAAGGTGGGAAATTCTATTCCCTCGTGGTCTTTGCCTCTGAAACTCTGCAGAGAAGATAACTGAGCCTATCTTCAAGCCGTTCCACTTAATTTAGGAAGAGCAGCAGGTAGAGGGGTCTGGATCCAGGAGTCTAAGGGTTAAGCTCCTTTTTTCCTTGCCTGTTATACCCCAACAGAGGCACAGTCCTCTGCCTTCCCTAGAAAACAGCAGGCTCCTACTTGCTTGGAGACATTTCCCTTCCCTGTTTATGCAAGAGCTGCTTTCCAATCCCACCCAGTGCCTCCATCCCCACCTTGCCCAAACCCATTGATTCTGATAATACCCCCACACCTGCCCATACTTACTGACCTCTGTAGTGCCCCAGGCCTGGCCATGCCCACTGGTTCCAGTAGGGCCCACACCTGCCCATACCCACTGATTCTGATGTCCCTAAGGAGACAACTGAGCTGAGAACTCCACACACTGCTCATCTACACCTCACAGGGAAAGGCTGAACCACCATGAAATTTATTTTCTACTTGACTATCCTTGCTGGTATGTATGTAAGACCTTCTACTCTGTGCTGTAAGGCACTTCAAATAGGTGGTGTGGGGCAGGTGGGTGGATGTGTGAAGAGTCAAGGAAGACTGTTTTGTTTCTAGTGGTAGGCTGTGGGGTAGGTTACGGCACATACTTGATTTGAAGAACTCTCAAGAATGAGTGCTCACTCTTCGTTATGCCAGAGGTTATGGGCCTCCACACCATCTATTCAAGTCCCAATATAGTCCCAAGGTCAGAGAGCCAGATCAGAATATCAGTCAACTATACTGACTTCTGTTATTCTCTGCTTCCAAAGCCATACAATTCGGGGAATTGCAAAGATTTAAACAAGAAGTCGAATACCGGGTCCTAGCTCCTGTTGTCCCTGCCTTCCATGATGTTCTTCTGATTGCAGAATTTGCTACTGGGCTTTTTCCCCAGCCCATCAAGACTGTGTTAATTATCTGTGTAGCAGTGGGCATGTTAACCCGTCCGTGCTACGATTTCTTCATTCAAATGGAAGTATTTACTACCCCCAGTAGAGTTATGAAGATTAAATAAATCTGTATAAGGGGAAGTATTAGCCCAGGCTTGAGAGGATCAAAAAAAGCGCTGAGAGCAGACAAGAACAGAATCTTATTTCTGATGCTACAAGCCTTTATTTTCTAATTCTTTTCTAAATATTTCAATTATAAAGTTATATGATTATATTGGAAAATTTGGAAATTTAAAGTAGGAAAAATATGTCATAATCTCACTTCTTGAATGTATGTCAATACTTTCAATTTACTCCCTGACTTGTTTTTGTGTGCTTTATTCTTGTTTTTAGACAATTAAGTCATATTATATGTACATATTACGGTTGTTATAATTTAATATTAATATTTTACTGTTTAATGTTCTATAAATATGTTCTACAAAGTTAGTACATTTTCTCTATTTCAGTGTCCAACAATCACATTTCAGTCAATTACACTTCCAATATTGTGCTACAATAAAAAGTGCTATTAGCGTGTTTACTTATTATTTTTGTCTATCCTCAATTGTTACTTTTAGATGGATTTGTGGGAATCAGGCCACAAGGTAGGAACAAGTTATTAACTCTTAATAGATGTCCTCAGATAACCCTAAGTGATAAAATAAATAAATAGCAAAATAAAAAATATAAATCCCAATGATTTCAACTTTAGGGATATTGATTTACAAAATTAACCAACATTTTTAAGATAAACTCCTTTGTACAACTACTTAAGCTAAAAAATTAATACAAAGTCACAAATGAAAAAATGCTCTCAAAGCAGAGGCTCTGAAATAATCACATACTCAGACAATGCTTCCATAGCCAGGAATACATACTGACATTCAGAAAATCTCAAAATTTGCAAGTCCACTACTATTTCAATTCCTGTGTGTTCTGGCACTGGGGCTTGACTTCAGGGCTTGAACACTGTCCCTGACCTCTTTAGCTCAAGGCTAGCCACAGCTCGATTTTGGCATGTTTTTGGTTAACTGGAAATAAGAATCTCATATACTTTCCTTCCTGGGCTGGCTTTGAACCTTCAATTCTGAGATCTTAGGCTATTCAGTAGCTAACATTACAGGCATGAGTCATCAGAGCCTGGTTAAATCCAGTACTGTTCCTAATGCCTGTTTCTAAATTGCTTTTCAAGAAAATAATCAATTTACAAGCAGTAAAATGAGCCTTATTATATCCTTTCCTAGATTAAATATTATGATACTAACCAAAATGATTATAAATATTAGGGGTAATAATATCATTTACTTCATCTATTTTTAGGAAAATGTCAAATATATTCACAGTTCCTAATGAATGGACTACTACTTTAAAATTCTCCATATTCTATTTCAACTGAGAAACTATTGTCTTATTTGTTCTAACACTCTATACTAAGAACATTATTCATATTTTCAGGGACATCTTTTGTCACCCAATCATCTGTGCAGAAGGAAGACCCTGCTCCCTATTTGGTTTACCTTAAGTCCCACTTCAACCCGTGTGTGGGGGTGCTCATCAAAACCAGCTGGGTTCTGGCCCCAGCTCACTGCTATTTACCGTAAGTACTGAGTATCATCATCTTAATCTAATCCAGTGATTCTCAGTAGGGGAAAGTTTCTCCCCAAAGCACATTTGCTAAAAACATATTTGTCTAAAAATATTTTTGTTATCATCATCAGGAAACAGTAAAGGTCAGAGCAGGGATCCTGCTTGCAGTGTGCAGCAGAGTCCTTCGCCTAAAGACACAGCCAGCTACTATTGAGAGCCCCTAGACCCTACCCTCCTGCCTCACCTCCCTTTCTCAGCACTCCCCCTCCTGAGATACAATTGCATTTTATCAGTGGAGGGCCCCACAGTAACTGAGAGTACACTCAACTGAGTGTACTTTTTCTTTTTCCGGAAGTAATTGGAAAAGGATGGAGACATTACCAGAAAAAATAAAGATTCGTTTTGTGTTCCTAAAGCTAATATTGGGAAAATGCAGTGACCATCCCTATGCCTAACAAAGCAAAAGGAAAGGAAGGAATAGAGTGGCTTCATTGGAAAGAGGGAGGCACTTCTCTGAAGAGATGCTCTCATGTAAAAAGTATCCTCTGTCAAGGGACACAGGCAGAGTTGCAGCAACGCAAGGCAGAGGGAGGATAAATACCCTGAACTCATCCTCTCCTTCCACCCGCCACTGGCACTTCCAATCAGAAGCCACAGCCCATTGGTTTAATTCCCATGTCACTGTCCAAAAGTGTAGAGCAGAATACAGGCAGGACAGTGAATTTAGTGAAAAATCAGAAAATACCTAACAGATCTTTCTATTCCTCCATTTTCACTGAAATGGAAATTTCCTGACCTGGGTAGGTGAGATGGGGAGATGATGGAAAAATCTATTTCTTTGGCATGTGTTATTTTCACCTTGACTACTTAGGAACAACACATTAAAACATGGTATTCAAAGGATTCCACCATGTATGTATATGTGCTTCTATGACTTCATCTGTAAAATAGGAATAAATACAGAATCACTGCACAGACTCATTATGAATAGATGAAATAAACTAGATAAAGCAGTCACTACAGTATCTGATCTTAGTGATGATAATGGTGGTGGTGGTGGTGATAATGTGATCATGGTGTATACTTCTAACCCCTTCTCCCTCCAGAAATCTGAAGGTGATGCTAGGAAATTTCAAGAGCAGAATCAGAGATGGGACAGAGCAGACCATTAGCCCCATCCAGATCATCCGTTACTGGAACTCCAGCCACACAGCGCCCCAGGATGACCTCATGCTCATCAGGCTGGCTAATCCTGCCGTCCTCAACCACAAAGTCCAAACCATTCCCATTGCCTCTAGTGATGTCCAGCCAGGCACTGTCTGCATGCTCTCAGGTATCGACTGGAGCCAGGAAAACAGTGGTAAGTACTCTTCCCACAGTAAATTAATGTCATCCGCTATGCTTGAAGAGGAACATCCGTGTCCTCAGAGCTAGGAGAAAAGAGGAAAGAGGAATGGGTAAAGACCCATGGGAGAAGCCACAGGTGTGCAGCTAGCAAAAGGAGACATGCCCAAAAATCCAATGTTCTTCCACTCCCAGAGTTTCTACTGTTCTGCTGATGCTTTGGAGCTTTAGCAGGTAGTGGCTCTACCTGCAGCAGGCCATATGACTCTGTACAGAGGCCAGACCATTCCTAATTCTCAGAGGCACCATTCATATTAAGGAGACTGTGACCTGATTTTTCACACATGTTCATTTCCTACATAAAGGACATCAAGGAGAGCTTGAGATAGATCACTTCTTCTTCCTCCAAGAGTAGACACAAAGGAGAAAGGAAACTATATTACAAAGACACCTAATGGCTACTTCACAATCCTTAGGATTAACTCCCGTAACTATGCTCAAGTTCATAGTTCCCTTTTCTCATTCCTTATTTTCTTTATGTGTATACATAAAAAGACCCATTGAAACAAGGTGGGGGTGAGAACTTAAAGAGCAATATGAACAGAACTGATTTTTCTCCATCTTCCCTCAGGCAGACATCCTGACCTCAGACAGAACCTAGAAGCCCCCGTGATGACCGATGCAGAATGCCAGAAAACAGAACAAGGAAGAACCCACAGGAATTCCCTATGCATTAAATTCGTCAAAGTATTCAGCCGAATTTTGGGGGTAATTTTTTCTCTGCAATCAGTGTTCATTTGCTTAGATGTGTCCAGTTAATGAACCATGCTACAAAATGTCTCTAATTTATAAATATTTTTTAAGAATTTGTCAAGGCCAGAGCAAAGACATTTAACATTTCTTCAGATGTGCAGACTCCTTACCAGGTAGCTTCATTAAGTATATTACCTCCCATCCATAAGACTTTGCTACAAGTCCTACAACTACAAGCAAAATACAGGAACAAAGGGCACTGCTTTTAAAAAATCAAAATCTGCAAGGAATCAGGGTGCACTGTTGCATAGCTAAATGGGTCAAGCACTCTTTAGCTACTGAATTTACCTGATACCACCAGAAACAGGAAAGGCTGAGATCCAAACAGACCTGCCAGCTTTCAATAGTTCTACCATCTCACATTTTTCTCCATCCAACTCAAATTGTCTCTAGTTTAGAAAGAAAAATAAAAATCAATAAAAATGAATCAAAAAATTCACAAAAAACTCACACTTTCTCACAAGTTGGGATCGACTTCATCAGTTCAAATAATTGGGATTTGATTCATTTGACATATGATTTCTAGAGAAGCTGGTTAGAGCAAGGCTAGCGAAAAGACCCAAGCTTCCTGTCCCCCAGTTCAGTACAGTGTTCCCAACCAAGCACACTGTTTCTCCAGGGAGCTCAACTAAGGCCAGGACTGAGGAGGATTCCTAGACGGGGATGATTTAACACTCTCTTTTCTCTCTTCCTCCTTCTCTCTCCCTCCCTCCTGTCTGGTAGGAGGTGGCAGTTGCTACTGTCATCTGTAACAACCAGCTCCAGGGAATCGAAGTTGGACACTTCATGGGAGGGGACGTCGGCATCTACACCAATGTCCATAGATACATATCCTGGATTGAGAACACCACTAAGGACAAGGAAAAGTAGCACCCTACTTCTCCCTCTGCATCCCACTGCTACTGAGTACACAAGCCCATCTTCGCAAAATAAAATCAAGCAGGACTCTTCGGGTGCAGCACCCTGGCAGTCTGTGTCTCTTTATTTGTGTCTGTGCCCACCACACACACTATAATGACATGCAGAGGTGTTATGACACTACATTGGGATATATTTGTTATCACAAATAATGCTCATTAAAAAACTTGGACATTCTTTTACCTTTATAAAGGAGGAAATCTGATGTTAAACAGTACCGAAAACTGGCAGTTATCAGAGCTTAGAACAGAATGCCAAAACATCAGCATCTGAGCCCCATGCTTTCAGCCTTCAGATAACGGGAGAATAAATGACCTCTGAAGGGCTGTTGGCTCTATTTCCTGCCGCCCCTCTATCTATCATCCAAAGCAGTTTAAGCTATCACTGTGGCTAAGGCCCCGCATGTCCCTTACCTTTTCCATAGCTGAGCTGCCCTCAGATTGTAGTATTCTACAGAGAGAGATCAGAAGAAGAGTGAGAAGTCTGAAACTCCACGACAGTGACAACTGTGAATCAAATCCAAAAAGGAGCCTTGTAGCTCTACAGCCAGATGCCACCACCAACCAAGGGAGGACAGCCACCCAGAGCAGCAGCAGAGCTGGAGACACACGTCTCAGATGAGGCACAGGGTAAAAACAAGCCTGAGCCATGCAGGAAGCCCTAACCAAGCTTGAAGAAAAGCAGCATCAGTTCTATGGTTGAGAAAAAAATCCTGGTACCACTATACTCTAGATGTGCACATCCCCTAAAAGCCATTGGTTGACACTCAATCCCCTACAAGGTAGGAACCTTGTAGGTGATTAGGTCATACGGATAGAGTCCTAAAGAGTAGAGAATGTGCCCTCATTAAAGAAGCCCCAGGGAAGAACTTTACAGCTATAGTATAGTAAAATGAATTTGTCTTGTAAGCTGGTTGTGGTAATTTGCTACAGTACCATTAAAAGTAAAGCACTTGTAAATACATAAAACTATTTTTTTTTCTGCTGGTCCTCAAGCTTGACCTCAGGGCCTGGGCTACACCTAAGCTCCTTTTGTTCAAAGCTAGCTCTCTACCACTATGAGCTGCAGCTCCACCTCCAGCTTTTTCTGTGATAAACTGAAGATGAGTCTCACAGACTTTCCTGCCCAGGCTGGCTTCGAACACAATCCTCCTATCTCAGCCTCCTGAATAGCTAGGATTACAGACATGAGCCACCAGCACCGAGCTAAAACTGCTATTGTTTATTCATTGAATATATAAACCCATGGTATTTCATTTCTCTGAGAAGTTTCATACCCATTAGGTTTCTTGGTATTTCCTAACAGCCCCCTGCAAACCCTCTCCTACGTCCCCCCAAAATGGCATTTCTCAGTACATCAGCTTCCCCTTGGTATTACTTCCTAGCTCTGTGGAATGAGTTTGAATACAAAAGAATGTCAGGGGGAAATGAAAGCGCACAGGGAGAATATTTTCACACCCTCTAATTTTGATTCCATTTCACCAGTGGTTGTGTAGAATTACTCCAGCCATTGTCACTAAAGAAAACCATTGAAGTAAAGCATTCAGCTTCATTCTTAAGATGTGCATCTGTTGCTAAGCCTTTCCATTACTTGAGAGAAAGTTGCCATTGCTGGATTCTGCTTTCACGTGGAATGCTTGGTTTATATTTCCTTTTCCTACATTCTAATAAATTTTGTAGCACTGACAGTTGTATTCTCTGCTTCTTCCTCCTGTTACAAAACAACCTGGCCTCGGTGTGGGAGAACCAACTCCAGGTTATAGAGAGATAAAAGGAAAGAAGCAGGCAGGTTGAGGACTACACAGAGTACAATTTATTAGGAGTACAGTTTACTGGCAGAAGCCAGAACAAGGAGATCCCCAGACTTGGGGTTAGATGCAGAAGAATATATAATAAGACAAAAGCGATTTTATCTGATCTGCCACACACATGTCCATTTTAAGTTAATAACAAAGGCTCTGGGCAAGCTTCTGGAGCTAAAAGCACTACTATCTGGTTATAAAGCTCTACATACCACTCTAATGGTTATTATTATTAATTTTATTACTGATTTCCAGTATGCTGGGAAGTCATTCAGGGAAAACCAATCCAGCTTACTCTGTGTGGTCATGATAGTTAAGACTCAAGATGACTTCAGCCAGGTCAAGTTGAATCTATCCACCCGGGATCATTTCCAATTACTGCAACATCATCATCTTTAATTCAGTTTTAAATGTGACACTGAAGTCTTCCAAACTACTTGAGAGTTTAATTTTTTTCCTTTATTCAAATATTTCACAATTTGATCACCAATTTCATGATACTCAAACTCCTGAAAAAATTGACATTTTTATAATTAGCACTGCATATCTACAAAATATATTGCTAGCCAGAAAAAATAGTACTAAAAATAAAATATTTACAAAAATAAATGTAAGAAAAAGTCTTAATTCTACACTCCGGCGAAAATGTACACTTATTATATTTTTGTAAAAGGCAAGGTCTTACTGTGTAGCCCAGGCTGGCCTCAAAATGCAATTTTCCTGCCTCAGTCTCCCAAGCAGTGGGATTATAGGCATGCACCACCACAGCTGGCTTAAATCTAATTCACAGCCTTCCCTTTCTCAAAGTTTTACAAAATTCCCTTTTGTATTTGATATTCTCATTCTTCTCTAATGTGCTTACGTGTGCTGGGCTCTCTCCAGCTCATATGTCCTCTCTTTGAGACCTCTGGCTCAAGGTTGTATTAATATTTTTTTTGGTGGGGAGATCTGGTTGTGGGGCCTCAACTCTGGGCCTGGGCACTGTCCCTGAGCTTTTCAGCTCAAGGCTAGCGCTCTACCACCTGAGCCAGAGCACCACTTCTGGCCTTTTCTGCTTATGTGGTGCTGAGGAATTGAACCCAGGGCCTCATGCAAGCAAGGCAAGCATTCTACCACTGAGCCACCTTACCAGCTCGGTTGTCTTAATCTTAAACTCAATGCAATTCGTGGTCGCTAGTTTTTCAAATGTTTCATTACTTCTTTTTGTTTTTTTCCATCTTCTGGAACTCCAATTATACAGATAGTTACCCTTTTATCTCTGTATACCACTTTGCTTTGCTTCCACATTTCCCATGTCTGTATGCTTCCTCGTACATTCTGAGAGAATTTTTCTAGCCAACCTCCAGCTTTCCTATTTTCTAGGTAAATCACCTAGAATCATCTAATCAGCTACTCCACCCAGGATTTGGGGCCTTGGGGGAACAATTCAGAGACACATTCACAGAGGCAGGCGGCATCAAGAACACGAAGTGGGAAAGGATATGTGAGGGGTGGGGCCAGCACCAGCCCCTCTAGTGTGACTACTCTAACCTCTTCTGAATCTGATTCTCAGTCTGATTCCTGAGCCTTCCCACAGACACAACAGGTGACTGAATTCAGAATATGAGAGAAGTACAGGCAAACTGAAGGCCTGATTTCTTCCATCTACACAGCAAGACTCTACAGGCAAGTATCAAACATTATGGTTCAAAAGATAAAGCTGAAAACATATTATGAAATGAATGCTGGGAGGAATGGCAAAAATAAAACTGATTGCACTTAACAAAACTGAATGGATTTAGAGTGAAGTGACATAATCCTCTAACTTTGTTGAATCTGACTTAAAGCTACTGTTCAGGTATTGATTAAGCAAGTCACAGAAGTAAATTTTTATTATTTAAGTTGTAAAAAGGACAACCACCATCAACCTAAGAGTACAGGAGATGGCTGAATCCAGGCAGTGGGACAGCAGTGAGGGCAACAGGAAGTGCTGCTGTTCTTTCTCCACAGCTTTGTTTGGCTTATGTCATGTGTAGTCTGGCTCACATGTTACATTTTTATGACTTCAGACATCTAAACCACACCATCAAAGTAGTGCCCAAGAAAGCTAGTAATGCATACATGCACACACACACACGCATGCATGCACGCACACACACACACATACACACATGCACATACACACGCACACAGCTGCAACTCTGAGAATGCAAATTCTAAAAGATTTAGTTACATGGAACACAGATTTGCCTTCAGATTTGTTTTCTGGCTGAAACACAAAGCAGCCTCACACCTGTCAAAAGCAAAATCATTTACCGGAGAAGGAAATCAAATCCCAGAAGATACTTGGAAACCATAAGCCTTCACTCAGTCTTACTGAGGTATACTTGGCAAATGAAAATTATGTGACATTTGGATAGGTACATATACACTGTGAAATGATTGTCACAATCACCTACTCTATTTTGCTTAGCATAATATCCTCTAGATTCTTCCTTGTTTTTACAAATGACAGTTTATTTTCTTCTTCAAACTGAATAATATTCAATTTTATATTTACACTACATTGTCTTTCTCCTTTCATGCATTAATGGATATTAAGATGGTTCCATTTCCCACGCATTGTTACGTGCATAAGAAAAGTAAATCATACAAACTTTCATCTGTTCTGAGTTGAGATCTTAGTCCCCAGGCATATTAACAATATAAGATTTACTATTTCCTGCATTTAAAAATGCTCATAAACTTGCATTCCACATCATCCTACTATGATGGCTAACAAGTTTGAAAATGACTTACAACTAGGTTGCTGGAAAAAGTGCAAAACCTCCTTGAGTCAAAAAACAAAAACCTGGGACTGTTCCATCTGTACCATTTACCAACGGATGGTGCTGAGTAAATCATTACAACAGTTTGGGCAGCTATACAATGAGGGTGGGGCGACACTGGTGCGATTAAATCAAATGAGATCATGGACTATACAGAAGCACTCCCAATAAGATGCAAAGCCCAATATACATGCACTACTTTTATGAATATAATCACTTAAAAACATCACTATTAAATAGAAATGGCTTGATGGACAGCCTACTTCTAAAAACAAAGAAGTACTATTTTATTTAACAAGAATGGATATTATCATTCCCAAGACAAAAGATGGTCCCTGACACCC